TGAAGGGAAACGAATAGGTGAATGAATGAATGGGATGTCCCTTGTTTCCTGTCACACTCCCCATTATCATTCCCATCATTTCCAAATCTATCTCAAAAATGCCTTTCGGCTATTCCCTCACCCGGCAAACAATAGTGTGAAAAGTGCCCAAATTAGGTGAATTGATACACAAATGGGTTGATTGGCAATGGTTTTTTTGAGACTTTAAGTCAAAGAATAGATTCTGTAAGTTCGAAAAGCTTTAAATTCTAAATATAAAGTAATATTTGCATAGTTAGTAATCTTCTGTTAAAATGTACAATTAGCAAATACAAAAAGTTGTGGAGATTTAATCATCAATTCAATTTAAGCGTACCCTAACTTCGGACTTCTTACTATCAGCTTACTAGTTTTACTAGTAAGCTGATAGTCTTACTCACTTCAAAACTAGGTTTCAAAAGATTTAACATTAAGCTCTTTAAGTCTAAAATGAAATACAACAGCTACATAACTAGTTGTTAACCATTTTTGAAATCAAAACTCGACCAATCTTCGACTACATCCACCCCACTCATTCCCATTTACAAGACACCAATTTTCGTTACGGTATATGAAAAAGTGTACTTTCTTTTTGGCTTTCTTTTGGTTAAATCGATTTCCGGTGCGCAAAGACGTCAGATTTCCGTTTTTCATATCAGAAAATGGAAAAGAAACACGAGAAATTAGTCAACAGCCAAACTCATGATCGACAGCGTGATTACGCAAATTTTGCGTGGTTTAGAATTCAAAATCAGTTAGCAAAATGATAGGGTACTGTATGAATTGTAAGAGTTATAAGATTGTGATTAGAAACCATCAGCAAAGAAACTTTGATCCATCTAATGACAAAACTGTCAGTATTGGCGAACTGAATGAGCCACTGCACCTCAAAAACGCCGCTCAAAATTTGCATATGACAAGTTTGAAGTGGTGTCCCGTGGTTAATGGAAAAAGGGGAAAAAAGATTACAAAGATTACTCAAGAGTGGTTTGGATTTATAAAAAACCTTCAGAAAGTGGGTATCAAGTATCACTCGATGGATACAGTCGGCTTTGATAGTTCAAAGCCATCTTTCCCCCTCCATTCCCTCCTCAATTGTCACTTTTGATGGTCACTCGCCGGTCACACCAAGTGCGCCGCTTTTTAACTGTATAGGATTCAAGAGTCATTTGATTTGCATAGAAATTGGTACAATATCCACCACTTTTTACCCCACTACGGGATACCAGAGTAAAACTGTTCATTATGGAAACTGTAACAATACAGCATCTATAGTGTTGCGCCTACAAAAGAATGATTTTCTCAAAAACCAAAAGAGTTGAGAGTTTTTTCGTTTAGAAATTGAAACTCTACAGACATTTTTACGACACTTCTCTACAGGAAAAGACGGAAAAAGACAACTTTTGAAACTCGAAACTCGAATTTAACTGCTTTTCAGCATCGTTTTGCATAGTGCTTTTTGTACTGTTCGACTAGGGTTGTCAAAGTTATTACAAAAATGTTACGTTTCTTCTATTCTATGTAAAATTACGCGTAGAATTTATGAATAATTGTTGTTTTTCAGCTTAGGTTAATGTATTGTCTTAGAAAGCTAAAAAGATGCATTAAGCACAACACTATATATTTTATTTAAAATTACGCGTAGAATTTATGATTAATTGCTGAATTTATTGCATCCTGGAAAGTTCCAAAAGTTACCACGGGGTCGCCAAAATTAAGAAACAAGGCCTTGATTTTGCTTGTCTTTTTGCCAGTTCTAGGTTTTAGTTTATGAGATTTGAGTCATTTGGTTTCGAAAATTAGAAATTGATCCTGACGAAGGATTCTTTTTGTTTGCTCTTGGTCTTGGACTATTAAGCGGAAAGTTAGATAACTAAAATAAAACTAAGGAGTTTAATTCGAAAGATCTGAAGTAGTACTATCTATTGCTTTTACTACAGGCAAAAAGACTAGTATTTTAAGCCTAGCAAGCAGTTGCTAATTTGTTTTACTTATAATGCTTTACATAAATCCTTTTAGTTTTAAAACAAGTGAATAAAAATGCTCATTATTGAAAGGTTCTTTCGATCTAGATTAAGCTGTAGATCTTTTCCGTTTTTTGAACTTCTGTTTTCATGATCGGATTTACAATCTTCCCAATGGTGACTCACTCAAACCACGCAAAAATCCGATGATACTAGAATAAAAATATAAACAGAGAAAAATAGGAAATGGATTATTGATTACAAAACTCTATTGTACTCTATGATCTCATTGATTTTGCAAAATATGACACATAGTTTTGTAGAAAAAACAAGTAAGTATGAGATCAAGTATTGCCGATGGATTGGTGAACCGGGAATTGAACAAATTAAGCACGATACACAAACAAAACATAAATCCCACAGGTAGCACATCGTAAATTAGATTTTATTGCCGGTTTATGGCGGGTGGAGAAGGGGATTTTGGAGGGAAAAGAAGGGAAATTTTGGGAGGAAAAGAAAGGAAACGGCGCAACGTGTGATAAGCTTCTTTCCACATCACGCAAATACCTCTTGGTTACCTCGTCTTTGCATGAGGCAATTGATGAGTTGGACTTGAACTTATAAGGTTTGCAGGTTTGCAAGGTAATCAGGCTGATGAAGATGAAGAAACGATGCATTATCAGCATTACTGGCATTATTGGCATTACTGGCATTACTGGCATTATTGAGGTATTATTGTTGCCTTTTATTTCCATGGCCTTTTCGAGACGCATACACTCAAAGTCCAGCAATTACAGACTGGAGTACTGCAGCTTTTCAGCCTTCTCAAGTTGTAGTTACTGTAGTCTCAAAAAAAGACTACAGTAACTTATAAAACCGGTTGATAGTCAGAGATAAGGTCGTTTCAAGTAATTTTCGACCGCGCCAAGGCCAGTCAGAAGCTAGGTTCCGTTTAAAAAACGCAGGCTCGCCAAAAGCCAGATCTGGATCTGGCTTCTGACCTTGCCTGACTAGGGAACTGTTTCAACTTTCCACCGATTTTCCAAATCGGACCTAGCCACAAAAAATTTCTTAGAATTTCTTAGAATTCTAAGAAACAAAAGACGCTTGTAATAAAAAAGCGAAAAATTTGACGGCGACAGGAATCGAACCCGTTAGCAAGCATGACATTGGTTTCGGGGTCTAGCACCCTATCCCTTAGGCCGTCACTGTTTAACCGCCTTCTGGCGTGGCGCCCTTTTATAGGCGATTATAGGTGTTCTCCGACACGGTTTGTTAAAAATTTTAAAGCTTTGCACACGTTTTTTTCGTAAACCAGTGCTCATGGGGAAAGAAATCAAAAATACGTGCTTCTTAGAATTCTACGAGAGCGTTTGGTAGCTAGGTCTGGTTTAGAAAATCGTTGTAAGTTGAAAAAGTTAGTGAGCTTTTCTTCAGATCTGATTTGAACCAAATTTCAGGGCTGGCATTGCTTACGGCTTGAGATCCGTTAAAACATCCTTGGTTCATTAATCAGGAATGGGTTCAATGAATAAAAACCGCGAAAACTACAAAGCTTGACACCAGCAAGTTTACTTACTTATACCACAGTTTATTCACACATCAAGCTTCCCTCAACTTTCAATTGATCCCATTCATTCTCCGATTTGCCCAACCATCAGCGGAAATCAGAAATCCCAGAAACTATACTCAATGAATCACTTTCGGTGATAATTTTCTATTTCCAGCCACAGGACTTTGACACCCTAATACCGTAATCAGAATGGGCTTCTCCTCCCCTGTGCAAAGCGTGAATTTATGGAGCTTTTCGGGCTTATAGGCTGAATAAGGCAAACTGGTGGGCGTCACGAGAAATCAGTGGCGCCAATTGCTTCGGAAAAACTCTCGGTTTCTTCAATCCCTCTAATCACTCTTTACTCGACACGTTTACAATCGGGAGATCAGTAGGGAGGGCCGAGGGAGGTTCTCTTTCCATTGAAAGAGAAAAAAGAGACACTCACTCCAATTCCTTCACTTTACCGATAAGAGTTTTTGGACAAAGTATTCAGCTTTCTCTGGTAATTGTCAGGTTTTGCCTCGAAGCAGATCGAGTTGCAGATTTGAAGATAAAGGGATTTTCGATGAGTGTGTTTGGATAAACAATGGGGAAAGTGTAGGCAAGTTTAAACGGGAAAGCTTTGTCCCAAACTGAACTGGAAGGGGTCGAGTAGTAAACGAGCATTGTATAGAGCATTTCAAATGGGTTTAAGAATTACTTTTAGTAAACACCGGATAGTGAGATGAAAGGTAACGTTTAGAGGTCAACGATTTCAAGGCTAAAGTCAATGAATGCCTTGGCAATTTGTAGCTTCTTGGATTGTAATTTTACCTCATTTGAACTTTTGGACAAACTGGTTTTCATTTGTTCGTTTGTTCGTCCGCATTCATTTGTTAAAGTTTAATTTGCTGTAAACGAGTCAAATCTCTTATTTACCAACTTGTGGCAATGAACTTGGCCAAGCTCAGCCCAAGTCAAAAATTCAAGGTCAAGAAGTTAAGTTGAACTCTGTTTTACGCAATTATATACACTTTTGCATTCAATTCAATTCAATTGCATGCAAAAATTGACTCTTATTTATTCGAGTGCCTGCTTTGATGCAGTGTTTAACTGTCAATAACAATGCCAGGCCAAAATCTCAGGCTAACACAACCTTTACATTCACTAACTTAATCAAGGCATCCATCGAAAATTTGATCTTTTTTACCCAATGAGATCAGCTGAATAAAATCTACAAAAACTTTCTCTTTTTCTTTGGATCTCTTCCGGCCAACACTGGGGCAAATTTGGGTCGATCCCGAGGCTGAAGAGGACTGATAAGAGAGTCCATCTTCTACAAACAGACCATCTCCCTTTACCCGAAGAGAGCACTGATTTGTGGGGCTGTCCATAAAAAAGTCTAGATTGGTTTATTGAAATGAGAAAAATGAACACAAATAGATATAGAAGATCATTAACGGAGAAATCGTTGAGAATGTTTATTCGGTGCGTTTGTAGTAACGCTTGGCGATGATCGAGCCCGCTTCCATCTTCTAAAATGGCAATTAGGATTGATTTTTGTTCTAACTTCAAAGTTTCGCTTCGAAACTTAAAGATTGATTATTAATGTATTCTTAAATCTGCAGATTTACTTTGATAAAGCTTAATTTGGTAAGCTTTCTTGTTTTTGTTCAACTAAAGCTTTGCTTGAGTCAACCAAATTATCGAAAGCTTTTAGAAAATCGGAAAAACATTCAATTAGCATACGATGAGTCATTTGTGCAGCAGTCGCGCGTTGCTGACCTTTTTTGGTATTTTTAAATCAAACCATGTAAATCGGAAAACTGTTGAATTTTAAATTAAATGTTTTTAAAATACACAATGAAGCCCAAAAGTCATATTTAAAGATTTGTTTGATGCATAGAACCGCTAAAAGGAAGGGCGCTCTTTTATCAGAAGCTCTGTACTGTTTCATCATTCATCATCTACTATAAATGTTAAGTCCGATCTAGAATCAAGCCGATCATTCGAAATCAGACGTTCAATCCAGGCTTAGATTTAGGGTGATTAGCTTGATTATAGATCGGACATTTGACCGCATTTCGCTCTAGATCGGACGGATTTCTAGATAGGACATAAATAAAAGTAACCTATATAAAAGAGTGGTGTCTGTCTGTCTTTACAGGCATTTTCTCGGCCATGTTTTGACCAATAAAGCTAAAACTTATTTAGAAAACCTTAAAATATATTGTAGTTGTGCGATTTAAAAGAATTTTAAAAAATCAAATTTGGGTGAAACACCAGAGACACCAGGGAATCGAACCCGTAAACAAGTAAACCGTGTGAACCGCAGACAAGCGCGCTCCCGACTAGGCCACGACAACAAAAGCACCAAAACATCCACCCAGAAAAACCCGCGAGTTTTTTAGCTGGTCTGTCTATAAACTATTTGTAAGTGTTTGGGCAAATCCACAAGAACGAAAACATCCCATCTGGCGCACTCAACTCTTTTTGCCAATTCAGATCAAATGCGAAGCTGAGCACCGAAAAGGATGCGCTTTTAGCTCTAATAGTATAGCCCAAAGCGTCTACTTAACGTCTTTTCAATAATTTCTCAAAGCACTCACGTTGACGAGGTAGTCTCCCTCCATGTAGTACTCATAGGTCTCATCCTTGGCCTCTCCTGCCTCAAGTGGGTGGTGCTTCTCAAAGACATGATCTCCCTCCAAAGTGAAAGTGATCTGGAAATTTGATTGTCATAAAATCTATCAGTTTTAGTCTAGTATCAATCTATCAAGTCATCAAAATTACCTCGTGCTTGGTCGAGTCGAGTCCCTCACCAACAAATTGTTTGCCAATCTCAACGTCCTTGTAGGAGACATCCTAAAAGATTCCCTTTTTTCAGCTATTGCTTGCCCCAGTTCTGAAATATTATCATTTGATTTTTGTCAAGAACCCCTTTTAGCCTTTGGTTTACTATTAGAAAACTTTGTGACTTTAGAATTTATGCTAGAAAACGTTTACAACTATTTGAATGCTAAAATACTTTCTACTTTCTACCCAACCTTCTTTGAAGTGAGATTCTCAAAGCTGAAGTGTCCAGGCTTGGTGCTCCTTGCGAAAACCTTCTCGAATTTGGCGAACACGATCAGTTTTCGGGTGAACCAGCTGTATCCTAAAAATCCAATATTGGCAGAGACAAAATAAGAGTTACTAAAAAGTTTTAGGCTTACCCAGGATCTGAACCATAGCTTTATTGCTTACGTGAGCCCAAATCTATACAATATTTATTCTCACTAAGACTCTAAAGTTTTAGAAATCCTTTTCGAAGTCTCGAAATGTTAATTCGCTTTTACTTTGAAAGACGAACCCTTTGCCGTCAAATACTCGTCGAAGTTCTCATTTTTGGCATCCTCGCACAAGAATTTTCCGTAGAATTTTTCGGGAAGATTCTTCGTGGCAGCAGAGAGACCGACGAGGGCGACAACCGACAAAACGGCAAGAGATCTCATTCTGAAATTGTTAAGATTTTCAAAAACAAATGTAAAAACAGGGAAGATTGTAAAATGTAGAACAATGAACTCTAGCTTACAATTATCCGGTGGAGAGAAAAAAACTCATTTATCCTTTGATAATTGATCACCTTTAATACTAGCGAAGTTCAATCTGTATAAATTTTCTTGACAGTAAATTTGAATTACTAAAAAGATTAGGCAAAAATTAAACTTTCTATAAAGTATATTTAAAAATTAAAATCCAAAGCTTGCAACAAAAGCAAAAGCTAGATTATTGTTTAAAAATCTTCCGTGAGATTTAAATAGCAACTGTTTTCAAATCATTTTAAGTCTCAAAAACGAGACGTAAAAAGCAAATTGTTTAAAATTTTCGATAGACGATCACCAGAGAATGGTGAGCCGTTCGTGTTTTTATGTTTATGTTTGAAGAAAAGGGGAAAGGGAGGACCGGCTATCAATTCATTCCATCAGCCGATGGCCAGATGCCCCCCGAATGATCAGCAGCGGAGATTGCAAGGGAAAAGGAGAAAACTCTGCCCTTTTCACTGCCATCGGCTCTCGAACACAATTGATTTGAGACAAATGACCACAAATGAGGACCATCTGCGTGTCTGTTCATCTGGTTAAGGTCTAGCAATAAAACTACAGAGTTCCAAAGTTCGAAAGGTACACGTTTGAAATCGAAAGACTTTTGAAATTATAAGTTGCGTTGCGTTGCTTTGAGTTGAGTTGATTTGCGAAGGTGACATTTGAAAGATTGAGGACTTATTGGGTTTAGTACTGAGTCTTTCACCGAAATTCATTTTCTAATTGAATAACTCTCAAGCTACCAAATGAAATACGGTTTTTTTATTAGATAGCTCAATCATTTTTCTTCCAAATGACTTTTAAAAGTTACTGAAAAGCTTTGTTTGGAGGCTTTTTATTAGCAAGAAACCGCGTGTTCAAAAAAGACAAGGTTCGATGAGACGATTTGGATCGTTTCTTCTACGAAAAAACGAAAGTTGCAAGAACTAGATGATTGAAATTTCGTCGAATCGGATCGAGATAAAGAATGAAACTTGCAATTGGCTTGGTAACCCAATCAATTTGATTTTCTGATACCCAATTTCATAAGGATATATTTAATGCAATTGTTAGCGCTATTTTTTGAATTTCTCTTTGAAAAGAAGTTTCGAGTCTTAAAAGATAAACGCACAAAAAGGCAGCTGTTCTGGTAGTCTGATTATTGTAGGTTCAAATATAATATATGATTTTCTTATGGAATGTTTAAGATTGAGTTCAGACATTTGAAAACCTTTTGAAAAATGTTTTATCCAGCAAAATTAACAACTAATACTCGTTTATTATTTAGGCCTTTTTGAAGATCCGTTGAGCGACGATGCCGTTGTTCTCGAGTTCCTGAAAGCAAAATTTCGAGTTGAGTAGATATGAATTGATTTAAGTTTATAAATTGTAACAAACCATCACAAGTTGGTCATCCTTCAAGAAAAATTTGTAGACTTCTTCAGGCGTTTTGTCGATTTCAATTCGGATGTGCTTCTCGAACAATTTCCCGTCGTTGAATGAGAAAGTTATCTGAAATTTATTTCTCAAGATTCATCAACTAAAATTTAATTTGGCGAACTGACTACGATCTTGGGTTTGAGTCAAGTAAACTAGCTGTTACTTTCCAAGCTGTGGACAAGGATAGGTGGGCTTTTTGATTCTGGGAATATAGCAAAACATTAATTTTAAACTAAAAGTTAAATTGAACAAGGAAAATCGTTCAGCAGGATGTAGAATTTGTGAATTAAATACAGCCAAATTAAGGGCAAAAATTCACCCCTTTGCCGATTTCAAAGGGAAGCACTTTATACCAGACAGATTTGCCAGATGGCGGGCGATTGTGCGACAAAGAACGATCATTTACGTAGGGATTTTTCTTTTACTTTGTAAATTGCACAAAAAGAAGATATTGAGCTGTAAATTTGTACCCTGGGGTTTTCACGAGCGGCAAATCGATTGGAGCAATTAATTTTATTGAGTCAACCAAATAAAACTCGTGTTCAATTCGTCTAAACTTTTGGAGAAACTCGGAAACATATTAGACTAACTTGGAGACGAGATTAGCAGCTTCAGATGTTTTTTTATTATGATAGCAAGTCTATTTTCATTGAGCGTTCGGGATTTTAATGATTATACATATTACTGGTTTTTATCATAATGCAAAGAAACCTACCTTATGCTTTTTCCCATCCATTCCCTCGGCAGTAAACTCGTGTCCCAATTTCACTCCCTCGTATTTGGTGTTTTTCTTTGAAGTGAGATTCTCCATCACATATGAACCCTTAAATTAATATTCCTTTAAAAGATTTTCTAATCAGTTTTAAATATTCACTTACTGCATCATTCGGATCTTTAGCAAACACCTTGGTGACACCGGCGAAGAGAATCATCTTGCGAACAAACCAGCTCACTCCTAGAAAATTGCTTTATTTAGATCTGCTTTCATTTGCTGAATTTACCTTTTGACTCCAAATATTCATCGAATTTGATGTCCTTATCGTGCTTCCATCGTCCCAGAAACTCATTCGGGATGAAATTTGCGGAAACGGCAGCGAAAACGAAACACAAAAATATCAAAGTCTTCATCTGAATTTGTAAATCATGGAGAAGATTTAAAAATTAACAAAAAAAGCGTTATGATTTGTTGAAAAGAAATTGGTAGCTTATAACCAAAATGCTTCTTGACAAGAGTTTACAGACAAGGAAAAGTTATAGTGGTAGAGATGCAGATAATCTTTAAAAACAAAACTTATCTCTTCAAGTGTTGAAAATTCTTTCAAAGAGCAAAATGGCAAAGAGCCGATAAGTTCTGACTAAACAAGCTCTTGGCAAATGACTCGCAGAATCCCAGAAGGGCAACTTCGCCAAAAACCTTCTACTTCATGCAATTCAACTTTAAAAATATTCTTCAAATTCTAATTTAGAAAAAGTATATAAAAGTTTGCCTGAGAGCAAATTTCGAAAGGACAACTGTTCCCCTTTGGATCACGCAATTTATCAATGAGCCTTTGGGAGTGGGGAAGGGAAAGAGAAGGGAAATGGACACTTGAGAGAACGGCCATCTCCTTAAAGTCCTCAAAATTAGCCGGAACAAATCAAATTAGAATGAGAAGATGTTAAAAGGGGAAATTGAGGGAATTTTCTACTTCCTGATTTTTTGAAGTGTGTCAAACGGGATCAAGAAACAGAGCAAAGTGCTGGAGAACTCAAAGCCTCATTTGAATGATTTAACATTAAAAATATTTTAACATTTAAAATTCAATACAGATTCTTTTTCTAAAATGTGCCAACTTCTGTAAATTCCTGTATCCTTGCCTATTGTTTCCATATAATCTATATAATCCATATAATCCATATAATCCATATAATCAGTGTTAACTGGGGAAAGGCACGAGCTTCCTGGGCGCCTTCGTTACCGGATTACATACATTTTACTAAATGATTTAACATTCAAAATATTTTAACATTTTAAATTCAATACGAATTCTTTTTCTAAAATGTGCCAACTTCTGTAAATTACTGTATCCTTGCCTATCGTTTCCATATAATCTATTAGGTTCAGTATTAACTGGGGAAAGGCACGAGCTTCCTGGGCGCTTTCGTTACCGGATTACATACACTTTACTAAATCGAGTATGGAGATTCATAATCTGAAATCAAAATCTGCCAAATAGACTTGCAAACGCGGAAAAATTGAGTTGAAATTTCGAAGATAAGCTTTAAAGGGCGCTTTTCAATCACTGAGTGTGTGCCTAGTGGATAATGGGACGGTCTCTCGGTAGTACCTGGGTTCGGTCTCGCTCTTGGTTTGTGGTTTTTTTTCTTTAAATGCAATACTTTAGCTATTCAATATTACAAAACAAACGGTGAAATTTTAACATCTATGAAACGCAATCACGAAGCATTCAAAACAAAAATTTTCACGATACGAACATCTGATAAAAGCATTCAGTCAGCATCCCGCTTTAAAACACGATTTGTTGTCGATATCACTTGGGAAGCAGAATTCCATTGGTGTTAGAGATCTTTCTGGTTTCGAGTTTAAATATCCAGCCATATATTAAGCATAAAATAGGTTATTAGCTAACAAAGGTGAATAAGTTGAAGTTGTTGTTAACAGTACTACTAAAACATTGCCCTGAGAACTTTTTAGCATTATTCACATCTGGCTAGTCATAGTTCCGTAGAAAATTTTGCTTCTACAATCCGGGTTTTTTTGAAAAGAGGTGATCAAAATTACATCAGACCTCAAAACTCCACAAGTCGATCTGAAGAGGGACCCTAAATGGGGACGAGAATGCTCGACTGCAAATTCAAAACTCCAATAAATTATAACAAACTGTTTTTATAGCTAAATATTTGCTAACAACTTTTGAAAATACCAAATTTTAATTTGCTACGAAGCTAGGAAAGTTATTTTGGCACCTCACAGAGGGTACCTCAAATGTTGTTATAAAAAGTTCTATAAATTTTTCTATATGAGTAAAATAGAAGATATGAAACAATTTTCTATTATCTAGCGTAAAAATACTTGAAAAATCTAATTTTGTAGGTTTTGAGTCTTGGAAACTTCATAAAACATCGTAAAAGTGGTCTTTCAGGAGGCGACAGGACTTTCCACGCAGGCTGTATGTTTTGATCTTTAGTCAAGCTGTAAAGTTTCGAAGGAATTTTAACTATTCCTTGTTGCATAGACTGATATAAATGACAAATGACAAACGCCGAATCTTCGAAAGCCTTTGAAGCCTCTTGACTTTCATTTGGTCTTTCAAAGAATGAAATCATAAAAATCGAAAGACGCTCTAGTAAACATGAAAAAAAAGCAATCAAACTGATGATCATTTCAGAAAACCCCAGCCGTTTGCCTCGCACAGTACAATCAAAAGTTGGCCCTATACGAGAAGACGGTGGCGGCTGCCCGGGCAGGCCAATCAGTGGTCACCATCTGCAAGACCATCTGCAAATGCACTCAAGCGATCAAAAACTACCTCTTTTATCATTATAAACTTTCCTAATGCTTCCATTGAAACCTTATTTTGTTGTACAAATTGACAAAATACACATACATAAATTTCAGACTAAATTCCTAAACATAAGGTGGTGAAAGGAAAGGAGGCTTGATAAGCTGGAATAGCTTTTCGTCTCTTTTGTTAGGACTCTTCAGACCTATTTCGCAAGCCGTTCAAACGACACTTGAGTATTAGCTTATTTAAATCCAAATTGGGGCAATAAAAAAAGAAGTATTTTACCTATATCGATTCATCCCTCATAAAATGACTTTGCCGGGCTCCAAGAATGGATGAACAAAGTCAAAGTCATCAAAAATTGTTCCAATATCACCCAAGGAAGAGCCAACTCATAGTTTGTTTGGAGGGGCTGTAGAGGTGAGAAAAGGAATTGAATCATAAAAAGGGGCGAAGAGTGGGTGGAATCACCCAAGAGTGCTGATTTTTCGCTTATCACCTCTACATATAAGCGGCATATCCACAGTCTTCGGCTCAAATTTGGTTTGAATACTTTCATTCCAGTAAACACATCGATTTTTTAAAGCACTCTCTTTTTATTTACTCTATCTGTTTTTAGGATCTTTTAATGTTTATGAACAATCGCATAAAATTGGAGTCGTATTTCGAACCTTGTTACTCTAGGGTTCTGTATCTAGAATATTTGAAATATCTAAACTCCTTTTTTAATCTGCTCTAGTGGAGTTTGCATTTCAATTTTGTTTGTTTACATGCTTCAAAGAAAGCTTCGGAATTTTTGTAGAGCTTCGAAGGATGCCGTTAGATTTTGCAACTTTGCTACCCTTTGTAACTGAAACATCAAATTCTGTTAAATATCTAAAATATTTCAGCAGTCGTTTCTCAAAAATGCACCGTTCCGTCGTTTTTGCCTGTCTCGTCTCAGTCGTCCTTTCACTCAATTGCTGGAGTGACACTGCTGACGGGAAGAGTCACAGCAGTGATGTAAGTTTTCAAATCGAAGCAAACTCTCTGTCATTGGCCTAGCCGCATAAAATGGAGTTCTTTCAGAAACGATCGATCGATTGCGGCGATTGCAAATATTGTGCGAAGGGCACGGCAAAGGTTCGTCTTTAGCGAGGAAAATTCGCTTCAAAAAAAAAGAGCCTTGTTCCAATGAGCCAAAAAGTTGGAAAGTTGGTGCTGGAAAAATTAGAAAAAGTGCAATTCCTTGAAAAAATAAAAGATTCCCATTTCCTCTTAAAATTTTAGAGATTTTCGAAAAATCATTATTTTCCAGCTTAAATTCAGCTTCTCGGCACTAAGTGTGTGCTAAAATAGGTGATTCTGAAAAGTTTAACATTAGATAAAATTTGCACAAATTTTGCCTATTTTAAGTACTTCATCCTAGATTTTTGAATGGGACCCATTGCCTATCCATTAACCGATTAAAAACTTATCTAAAGTCTGGTCACTCAAAAAGTGACCAAGTCACTTCAGCTGAAGAAATCTCTTATTTTTTACCTGCAGCCCACTCGGATTTTTTTGCCAAAAACTTTTTGAAATATAGTCAAGTTCATCAAAAAAATTTGGAAAGAATTGATCCTGGCTTTTTGAGAAATCACCGTGCAAACTTTTTCCGACAACTTTCTTTCCAACCTAATAATTCAAAAAGTTCTGAACTAATTCTCATTTTTGCGATAAATTCCTCTAATTGAGAATTTAAGCATCTTTTCCCTTCCTACAAAGGCCTTAAACAAACACTCAACGCTTTCTAGCTGACAAAAGAGTTCGACGGCGTGAAAAAGGGAAGCGTTGAATCGGCATGGGGATGAGGCTGCAATTCCATCAACGATTTCATCATGCCAATTCTGCGGGCAACTTACGGCTTTGGCGAGTGCACGGTGAGTGATTGCGAGATATATCAAAAAAGGATTAGCAAGTTAAACTCCGGGATTTACATTCAACAGCGAAATCTTGACGACAACTTGCCGCTTCTCGGACCTTCTTTTAAAATGACCAAATTCGCTTTTTAACCTCTTATTTATAGTTTTCAAAAGTTTTCCTCGATAGATCTACATACATGGTTATTTAAACCCTAAGTTAGAAGAATAATTTTTGTTTTTGACGAGCAAGCAAAAAAATAGTTGTTCACACTTTTTGGCTAGGTCGGATCTGGGCCAGCTTAGGTCTTTTTTATCATTTCTGGTAACAAAGGGCAGAATTTGACCGTTTCCTGGGAGGAGTCCAAATGCAAGTCAAGCTATATTCTAAACGCAAACTAGTTTGGAAATGCGCCTTTTTGTTCGATTACCAATTACAACACCTGATTGCCAGCTAAGTTCTTATAATCGTTGGAAATGCCACTAACAGCAATAACTGTTTTACGAAGTTATTTTGCCTTATTAATCACTCTGAAACCATAGTGTCGACATTTCAGAAGAAGGGCACAACGGATAAGAAGGTCGACTATGCAAAGGGCACAATGTACTGCTGCGAGGGAGAGCAATGCAATGGAGCCCATTCCTCTTTGGCATTCACCCCATTGCTAGCCATTCCACTCATCGCCAATCGGTTACTCCAATAAATGCATATAATTGTTTTATTGTCTTGTTTTTTTGGTTTCAAATAAATATATATACTTTCTAAGGTTCTTAGTTTTCGTAAAAGACACTCAATAGAATCATCTTAACAAGGAGAGTCAGTTTGTCTAAAAAATTGAGGCGTTTGTGAGCTAATCGACTTGTTCAAAAGTTTTGCACGCCTCTTTTACAAATTATTGCTCGTTCTGAACTAACTTTAGGATTTGAGGTAAAGTATATTGGTTTTCTCTTTACATCAACATCATCAAAGCTTAATTGTCAAACGGAAAAAGCATGCCAGCAGTAAAAAGAACTAGAGCCTTGTAGAAATCTTGAGAAGTCGCATTTTTTTTCTTACAGAGCATTTCCCTGTTCCATGTTCATTACGTTTCAAATCAGAAAAGGAATGCTAAACATATAAAATAAAGTGTATATTGCAGGATATTGTGTCAAGAAAATCTATACACTAATCGATAATCGAAATCTAAATATTTCCTCCAAAAGAACACCGTAACAAAACTTTATGCTAGCGACCAATTTGTTTATTTCCTCTTCTTTTCATTAACTTCTTCTAATCGTATTTCATTACAACGCTTTCTTGCACACGGGACGGGCCATTTCTGTGTCGGTAAACACCAACGGATACCACGACGGGTCGTTGCCAATCTTGATTTATTCTTGACCACCTACCGCCCACCAGGCTTTATCATATGGAGTTTATCCAATATAATCGACGGGCGATCCATCGGTTCAGTTTCCCAATCCGTAGATGCCTCTTCCGTAGTACCCGATCCAGGTCCATAGATCCACGCAATAACTGTCTCATGGCATATGGTGCAGATCCGAAGCGACCAAGTCTGCAAAACAAAATCATGATTGGGTGCCTGTTCCCGTCCTTTTATGACAAATTTCTTATTGTCCTTTAGGAGGTCGGGTTTTGATTCGGTCCTATTCAAGGTTGATAGAAATGAAAATTCTCTGGTCAAGGCCCAGGGCATAGACAAGACAACAAAAATGCTAAAAACAAAAATTTTTAGACTAGGCTTTTCCCCTTATGGGCTGGCCTAGCCTGATCGGATTTGAGTAACTGTTTCTGTCAATCTTAGTCCTGTTTCTCTTTAGGAAACGGCACCGGGCCAATACTCGTAAAAAGCTTCATAATCTTTTCAGCTGCCTGCTGCCCAATTTTAAAGCTGCAACTTATGACAGAGTTTAAAAAAAACAAGAACGAAAAGATAGCCAGCACCATAGATGAAGTCATTTAGCCTCAGTACCATAGATGAAGTCATCTTCAGCCTTGGAATGAATCGACACTGAATGTGCTCCCATTTGTTGACAATTCTCTTCTGCCACAGTCACATTATACGTGCTCAATTGACGCGTTTTCACATCGATATAGGTTAAATTCTAAAAAATATCTTTTAATATGAGAACTTGCGCCAAATGGCAGCTCACATGCAAATAATAGCAATAGTCGGTCGCATTGTTGTACCTCCATCCATCTGGGCAATGCTTATATAAAGAATTCTTTAATTTAGCAAAAAAATGAACTTTGAACAATCGCTCAATGAATGATATAGTATGGAATACTGCCTTTATTCTGGTTCTAGTTTTTATGAACTATTGAACTATTGATTCTGTACTGGGAATGTTCAAAGAATTAGCTAGAAACTAAATCATTTGTCAATGGATCGAACGTTTTTGTGGTATCATTGTAAGGATTGAATCAATTTCCATTTCAAAATCGAAAGCTATATAAATTGGCCTTGGTAGCAACCGCAACTCGATCTTAGCCCTTTGAGTCTCCGCCATGCCGTCTGCAGGGACACATACTTGGCTGCAGACTGTGGTCGCGGCTGAGTGAAAGTGGAAACGAAACAGAAATTTTCCAACATTTTACGATTTATGAAACCTGGAAGGGGGGATCAGTGTCCTTCAGATTGGGCATCCACACATGATTTTGAGCTTTATCTTCCGACTCCCGGTTCTTAATGGCCATTGTTCCATATCTGTTCATTATGCATAGATCTTCCATCGATCAAAATTAAATTGTTCAAATGATTGATTAGTTTAACACAGCCTTCTAGGCTAGTCCATTGTGCTTGCTTCTGAGACGGAATGGTAAGTGTTGCAGAACTTTCTTATATTTAAGTCCATTGCCATACATGTAGCGTAGACGTAAAATGGTTTCTTTTGTTCTTTAATATTAGGTTGGTGCAAAAGAAATTTCGGTCGATATAAAATGTTCTTATTTTTTTAATCTGAAGAGCTTATTTGATGTTCTTTTGTGCATTTGTACTCTTGGATATTTACTTTATTTTCGCATTTTTTCAAAGTCAGAGCTTTCACTTTTTAATTGATTTTTGCTTTAGATCATGGTGGATCAAAAGTATGTTCTGCGCACGTGTCTTCTCTATGACTTCAAAATGGGCAAAAACGCTGCTGATTCACATCGTGATCTCTGTTCCGCCTTTGGAGAACAGGTTATCACCGAAAGATCATGCCAGCTCTGGTTTGCCCAATTCCGAGATGGTAATGAATCCCTTGAAGACGAATCGCATGGACATCGTGCCACAGCCATCGACAACAATGAATTGAAGCTGATCCAATGCAAACAACACGAGAACTTGCCAAACATCTCCAATTCAACAATTGTACGCCATTTGGAAATAATTGGAAAGACAAATCGTAATGGACAATGGGTTCCACATCAATTGAGTGTTGAGAATCTGGGAGCACGCGTTTCGATCAGCCATATCTTGCTCCATAAGTCGAAAAGAAGCCATTTTTTTTGAGAATATCTTGACGATGGATGAGAAGTGGATTCACTTTGATAATACTTCTCGAAAAAGGCAATGGCTGAGCAAAGGTCAAGCGCCAATTCCAACTCCAAAGCCGGATTATCATGGGCGCAAAGTGATGTTGTCTTGCTGGTGGAATATCAATGGACTTGTTCATTTTGAATTATTAGAGCCCGGAAAAACAGTCGATTCATCTTATTTTATTCAACAACTCAAGAAGGTTGACGAAATTTTGCGTGAAAAAGGCCTAAATCCCTCAACTATCAACTTTCTCCGTGATAATGCTCCAGCTCACACGGCAAAAACCTCTTGTAAGGAACTAGAGAAGCTAGGATGGAAGGTCTTACCACATGCGCCGTATAGTCCAGACTTAGCACCCTCCGATTTTCACCTTTTCAGATCGATGCAACATTCCCTTGAGAATTGCCAGTTTAAGAATGCAAAAGAAGTCGAAAATTGGGTGACCAACTACTTTGCATCACAGAATCAAGCGTTCTTTGAGAAGGGGATCCGCAATCTGTAGCAACGTTGGAGGGATGTCATAGATAATAATGGTGCTTATTGTTTTAAATAAATTGTTATCAAAAAAAATTTTGGATGACTTTAATGTTTGTAAAAAAACGAAATTTCATTTGCACCAACCTAGTATTTCATAGGAGACGATGGTGCCCACATAAAGGAATTTTGTGTCTGTGTGCCAGCTGCACTTTCGAAGTCGTGCCATCGTCACCGATCGTCTGCGGCTAACCATTCGATTCCGTTGTCCAAAATATTGTTTTTGTTCCAGACTAAACTGTCTTCAGCGACGGCCACTATTGCGAGGCATACAGGCTAAGGAAGTATTTCGGCCGACCTCCTGCTGCGCGCTTCTTGTCGATTCAATTGTTTCATTTTTCTTTGTGTGGTCCTCTGGCAGGCAATCGTTTTTTGGAACAGGTTCCTAAAATATTCTAGTTTAGAAAAAGTATATAAAAGTTTGCCTGAGAGCAAATTTCGAAAGGACAACTGTTCCCCTTTGGATCATGCAATTTATCAATGAGCCTTTGGGAGTGGAAAAGGGAAAGAGAAGAGAAATGGACACTTTAGAGAACGGCCATTTCCTTAAAGTACCCAAAATTGACCGGAACAAATCAAATTAGAATGAGGAGATGTTAAAAGGGGAAATTGAGGGAATTTTCTACTTCCTGATTTTTTGAAGTGTGTCAAACGGGATCAAGAAACAGAGCAAAGTGCTGGAGCACTCAAAAGCCTCGTTTGAATGATTTAACATTCAAAATATTTTAACATTTAAAATTCAATACGAATTCTTTTTCTAAAATGTGCCAACTTCTGTAAATTACTGTATCCTTGCCTATCGTTTCCATATAATCTATTAGGTTCAGTATTAACTGGGGAAAGGCACGAGCTTCCTGGGCGCTTTCGTTACCGGATTACATACACTTTACTAAA